ATTGGTGAGTTCAAGCCCCACGCTGCTGACAGCCCAGAGCCTGGAACCTGCTTGGGATTCTGTGTCCCTCTCTCTGGCCCTCCCCTGCTCACACTCTGTCTCTTTCTCTCTCTCAAAAATAAATAAACATTAAAAATAAACAAACATTTGGGGCGCCTGGGTGGCTCAGTCGGTTAAGCGGCCGACTTCAGCTCAGGTCATGATCTCGCGGTCCGTGAGTTCGAGCCCCGCGTCGGGCTCTGTGCTGACAGCTCAGAGCCTGGAGCCTGTTTCAGATTCTGTGTCGCCCTCTCTCTGACCCTCCCCCGTTCATGCTCTGTCTCTTTCTTTCTCAAAAATAAATAAACATTAAAATAAATAAATAAATAAATAAACAAACATTAAAAAAAAGATATTAAAAAGGAAATGTTCCAGTTTCCTCATTAGGACAAGAAATGAGCAGGGCAGTGTTCCTGAGTCGGCGTCTCCCTGATGCCACTGACATGAAGGTGAGAAAAATTTCAGTGTCAGCATCAGGATTAGTCATGAACTGCACGCATCGGTAGATCCCACGTGAGGCTGGATCACACAGAGCGAGATAAACTAGCGTCCCCAAAACGAGTTTGGGTATCAGCCCCTGTGTTCACACAACGGGGACCGATCCCCTGCCTGTTTAGGCAATAAGCTGGGGGTCAGTTCCTCACTTATTCTTAAACTCACCGAGTAAATATTTGCTGTCTAAACTTCTTAAATAAACGTAATACAATCTAACACAGTAAGACTCTGGGTAAGTCTTAGTGAGTCTGAGTAAGTCCTCGTGTTTGCATTTTGTGAATAACCAAAGGCCCACAGTAACCAGTCATGTGCGGTTTTTCAGACAATGGTGTGGAAGAATATTCAATCTAGTGAGCAGGCCTGGCCAGCTAGCCAGCTATCACTGCATTTTGCTCTTGTCCCTACATCGCTGAATATTCAGCAAAGTTCCAGAAGTAATAGGAAAGGAAAGAACACAACTGTTTGAAAGGGAAGAGCAGACAAGGAGGGGCACCTGGGTGGCTCAGTCGGTTGTGTCTGACTTCAGCTCAGGTCATGATCTCATGGTTCATGGGTTCGAGCCCCATGTTGGGCTCTGTGCTGACAGCTCAGAACCTGGAGCCTGCTTCAGACTCTCTGCCTATGCTCTGTCTCTCTCTCCTTCGAAAATAAATAAACATTAAAAAAAAAATTAAAAAAACAGACAAGGAAAAGGTAGTTAACTTATAGAATGAGAATAAGCACAGGACCAACTCTGTGTTCCTGGACTAAGATTTTTTTTTTTTTAAGGGGCAACACAGAAGCTAAATAAACATTCCCATATTCCAGGGTTTCTCAACTTCTGCACTGTTGACCTTGTGGTCTGGATGATTCTTTGTCCCAGCGGGCTGTCCTGTGCATTGTAGGATGTTCAGCACCATCCCTGGTGTCTATCCACTAGATGTCACGAGCAACCCCACGCAGTTATGACCATTGTTAATGTCTCTTGAACTATTGGCATTTAAAAAAAAATTTTTTTTTAACGTTTATTTATTTTTGAGAGACAGAGACAGAGTGCGAGTGGGGGAGGGGCAGAGAGAGAGGGAGACACAGAATCTGAATCAGGCTCCAGGCTCTGAGCTGTCAGCACAGGGCCCAAGGCGGGGCTCGAACTCACAAACCGTGAGATCATGACCTGAGCCGAAGTCGGACACTTAACCGACTGAGCCACCCAGGCGCCCCGAACTATTGCCATTTTTGAACTGTGGGAGATTCAAGAAGCTCTTGGGAAGTGTCTCTCCTGAAGACCAGGCAGCCGCCATGGGCTCTGACCCCAGTCACAGGAACCAATTAATTGGGACTTTGGGTGGTTATTATTTGTTGTTTTCTCTCATCCAGACCGGGAGCCCGAATTCAGCTACCATGAGGCAGAGTGAGTGGTTAATATGGAAGAGAAGCGGACCAGAGGTCCTCAGAGGACCAGAAGCCCCGCAAACAAGTAAACCTATAAGTTGGTTTCTGGAGCAGAAGGTTGTGGTTTCAGGGAACCCTTCCAGAGAACTGGTAACTCTGGGGCTGTCCTGCCAGGAGGGAGATTAAGGGAGAAACCCCAGGTGAGGGGGCTAGTTTGGAAAATTGCAGGCAACGTCATGCACTGCCCAAGTGCACCTGCTCCTGGAGTGCATGCTACAGCGGCGGGAGAGGGAGAGAAGACAATAAGCTATCAAGGTGGGGAGCCACTCTGGTTTTTCGAGGAAACTGTTCTTGCAGTTGACGCTCAACTCCCACCCTGGGTGGTCTTGAGTCCCGGGTCGACGCCTCAAGGGCCCCTGCTCGGCCGGGGTGCGGCTCTCTCCCCCTCTAGGGCTCACGTCCCAGCCCCAGAGACACTGCCTCACCAAAATCCCGCAGGGATCGCTGAACGGGAGGGGAGGGGCAGGGGCAGGGGGCGGAGCACATAGGGGGCGCTGCGGAGCAGGAGGCGGAGCAGCGCTCCAGAGCCCCGCCTCCGAGCACGCGGCAGGGGGTGCGGGCCACGCCCGCGCACTCCCCTGCAGCCTCGCGCGGGCTCAGTCCCACCGCGGACCCCGCCTCCGGGAAGGCGCCCCGCGTTCCCCCTTCCGCCTCGGGCAGCCGGGCGGGGTACGCGAAGTAGCGACTTTCTGCGGTACCTTTACGCAGGGTCGCCATCTAGTGACGGCAGGATATACTGCTGCGTTCGGCCGCGAAGCCGGCCGACGCTACAAGTTGGGTACGTTTCTGGTTAGTGCGAGAACGCTTTAGGGTGGGGAGTAGACCCAATCCTAGGCCCCGTTGGGGGGCTGGGGTGCGCAGATCGGTGGCCCTTCGCTCACCTGCACCCCGTGGCCCGGGCCCACCTCCTAGAGGAAGGTGGGCCTTGGCCACATATGAGTAAGGCCTCGTGTTAACAGTGCCCTGGTCTTTGAAAGGGCAGGCCCGTGGCCCCAGTGAGGTTGGCTCTGAGAGCATTCTGCAGAACACCTGTCTGCAAGGGTGTCTGGCTTAGGAAAGCCCATTCTTTGTCGGGGTGGGGGGGAGGGAGCGGGGAAAGGCGTTCGGGGAGACAGGGGTCCCGGAGAGAGCTCCACCAGTGACTAAGAGCTCAGAACAGGCCTGTCCTCCCTGAGTGCCACCTCCGGAAGAGAGGGCAGGGGAGGACAGAACTCTCGGGTTCCTGAAACAGCCTCTGGGAGAGCCACCTCAGCCCCACCCCCATCACCACTCCTGGGGTCTGCAGGCACAGACCCAGGGAACAAGAGCCTTCGGCAGCACACATTCAGGTGGGGACAGGACTCCAGTCTCGTATTTTTAGACAGTCCCCCCTCCCACACACACACACACACACACACACACACACACACTAAACTTTACTGAGGGTTTTCTCGCATCCCCCAGCTTGGCTTCATGGAGGGAACGTGTTACTGGACAGAGAATCGGTTCCTAGTTGGGGTTGGGCTTCTCATTGCTGGAAAAATCACTTCTCGGACAAAAGATCAGTACTCAGAGACAAGTGATGCTGGGAAAGGAAAGGTTGCTTTTTTCAGCAAGCCCGCAACTGGGATGATGGTGGACTAATGTGTCAAAGACCATCTTCTCCGTCCTGGCGAAGCCCGAGGGTTTTAGAGAGGAAAGGAGAGGAGGGGAGAGAAGGGAGCACTGGGTGCAGGTGAAGCAGGTGCCCAGGTGGTAGGTCCTATGTTGTCGGCATGATCCTGAACAGACTTGCTGGCATCTGAGGCCCCTGTTTTTAAATGTAGTCAGGCCTTCTCTCCTGGAAAAGTCTGGCCCTTCACTCCTCAAGGCCAGGGGTCTGCAAATCTCAAAGTTAGTTCTGCTACAGACGAAGGAACTTAGGTCAGCTAGCGAGGAGTGCATAAGCTTGAAGCAAGGTAACTCTTAAGACCGGTTACCAAAGCTGTCACAAAAGCACCCACCCCCTTCGAGGGAATAGTTTCTCTCTATAGGCACTATACTCCCACGGTTGATGACCTCTTTCCCTCTGTGATCTTATATTGGGAGGGAAAGAAAGTTCTCAGGACACCACTCAATAACCCTGCAGATAGGCTTAGTCTGACTGCAAGGGTTCCTGGGATTTCGAATATAGGGTATTTAGTACCTCTTATCTACAACTTTGGACCTTCGCTGCCATTCTTGGGCAACAGGACAAAAGCCTCACCCATATGGGATGCGGTCATTAATAGAAGCAGATGCAGACTGAGGCCGGAGAGAGCCGTCAGAACTGCCATGTACGTTTGTGCAGGTAGCTCACTGCACAAGGGCACCTGGTTGAGGGTGGGACCCTGGGATCTGGAATTCAGCCCTTGCTCGAGCACAAAGCCATGCAACCTGGCGAGGGCTGTGTCTGCCAAGAGGAAGGGGAACAGTCTTCAAATTTACCTGCTCTCCATGAGCCTGCCCACAGGGGCCCCCTTTTCCTTCTCAGGCACAGATAGGAGCAGGCTGTAGCCCTTAGGGATTTAGGCGACTGTCTTTGGAGAAAAGGCTCCTGCATGAAGCCCCAGCCCGGGGTTCTTTGGCTTGTGTGGGCCGCAACTCCACTCTATTCTCCCACAAGTAGAAACTCCCCTGGAGGCGCACAGTGTATTAGCCGGAGGGGCAAACCTCTTCCGGTGTTTGTGGTCTCCATGGGGGCACTGCTGGGGAATAACGTCCGTGCCTGGTGTTTGATAAGGTTTTTCAGGCAGAGGACATGTATTTGCCCTCTTCTATTCATTCTGGTTTCTTAAGCCCAGGCTTCCTCTCTCTTGTTCCCAGAACACTTCATGTGCAAAGACACATCTCCAGACTGAAAGGTCATTACAGTCCCAGTGGACAAAGATTAAGGTGAGTCCAAAGACAGATTTATGTTTCATCCATCTGGTCTATAAAATCTGAACAGTTAAGCACTTTTTGATGTTTGAAATGGGTGAGCTATTTCCTCATAGCCTACCGGAGAAGCAGGTAAATGTATTCATTTGCTGTAAGAAAGTACTACAAAATATGGGGGGTAGACAACGGAGTTCAGAGTTGAAAAATCCAAGAACAGGGGTGCCTGGGTGGCGCAGTCGGTTAAGCGTCCGACTTCAGCCAGGTCACGATCTCGCGGTCCGGAAGTTCGAGCCCCGCGTCGGGCTCTGGGCTGATGGCTTGGAGCCTGGAGCCTGTTTCCGATTCTGTGTCTCCCTCTCTCTCTGCCCCTCCCCTGTTCATGCTCTGTCTCTCTCTCTGTCCCAAAAATAAATAAACATTGAAAAAAAAATTAAAAAAAAAAAAAGAAAAATCCAAGAACAGTGAGTCAGCAGGATTGACCCGTTCCGAGGCCATCAGGAAGAACCTGCTCGCATCTCACAGCTTCCAGGGGTTCGCCGGTGATCTTTGGTGGGTTTTGGCTTGTGGACACATCACCGCAGTCTTTGTGTTCACACAGTATTCTCCCTGGATGCATGTCTGTGTCCAGATCTCCTCTTGTGAAATTACACAGTTATACTATATCAGGGCCACCCTAATGACCTTATCTTAACTAACTACATCTGCGGTGACCCTGTCTTCAAATAAGGTCACGTTCTGAGGTGCTGGGGGTTGGGGTTTCAACATAGGAACTTGGGAGGACACTATTCAACTGATAACATTAAAAACCGCAAACAAGATGGCACTAAAACCCTCATCTGCTACCCACTGCCACGGTGACAGGAAACGAGGTGTTGGAGGGAACAGGAGAGTCACCTCATAAAAGCTACAAGAAAGGGGCGCCTGGGTGGCTCAGTCAGTTCAGCGTCTGACTTCAGCTTAGGTCATGATTCACGGCTCGTGAGTTCAAGCCCCATGTTGGGCTCTGTGCTGACAGCTCAGAGCCTGGAGCCTGCTTCGGATTCTGTGTCTCCCTTTCTCTCTGCCCCTTCCTTGCTTGCTTTCTGTCTCTCTCTCTCTCTCTCTCTCAAAAATAAATATTTAAAAAAAATTTTTTAAAAAGCCACAAGAAAGTTTTTCTTTCCGCATCAGGTTTGTATCAGGATTGTATCTTATCCCCAGGTAACCAATGAAATCTCTAAGACAGACAAACGAGCCAGAGGGTCTCTTATGTGTTCCCAGACCACAAAGGAGAGGGAGGTTTCAGTAGCCGGAACAGACCATGAGCTGCCTCAGTAGCCAAGGCCTGGCAGACCTGGTGTGTGTGAGTGTCACAGACTTTGCAGGACTTGCCCCCCTCCTTTTTAAATGTTTTTATTTACTTTGGAGGGAGAGAAAGAGGGAGGCAGAGGATCCAAAGGGGGCTTTAGGCTGACAGTAGAGAGCCTGACGTGGGGCTCAAACTCATAAACCGCGAGATCATGACCTGAGCCAAAGTTGGACACTTAACCGACTGAGCCACCCAGGTGCCCCAAAGCATAAGTTTTCTTTTCTTTTCTTCTCTTCTCTTTTCAATTTATTTATTTCTTTATCTTTGAGAGAGAGCACAAGTGAGTGAGGGGCAGAGAGAGAGGGAGAGAGAGCACAGAGCCTGAAGCGGGGCTCGAGCTCATGAACCTCGAGATCATGACCTGAGCCGAAGTTGGATGCTTAACCTACCGACCCACCAGGCGACCCTCATAACTTCTCTTAATCATCGTTGTGAAGGTCTCCTTAAGGTTCATAGTAACTGAAATGCCTGTTTTAGTTGATGCGTTTTGCTTGCAGAGATGTCATAATTCTGGTTGAAAATCAGTGTTTAATTCTCAAGCCGTGTGGCCAGAGTGGCTCCCATGTTATCTGAGTCGTGGTACTTGAGTTATTTAAATCTGTTGGCATCTGAAGTCATCCATAATCCCAGTTTGGGGCTCTGATGAGGTGGGTGGAGAACAGCACCCCCGGTGGCCTGTGAAAACTTCAAGGGCAAAGATGTGGTGGAATCAATAAGCCACCGATTAGAGCTTCATCCTGTAGAGCATTGCTGCTCATGGGTGGCCTTCAGGGAATCTGCGACCCTCCTAAAACTGAAAACTGCAAAATGTGTGTATTTTACTACATAGGGGAGAAGGTTCCCCGCTTTCGTTAGACTCTCAAAGGAATCTACATACAAACCAAGTAAACCTCGCACATCTTTATGGTAAAATAGTAAATTCAGTTTTCTTCTAAAGTGTAGAAGATCATCATGAAATGTAGAATTGTTAGCAAAGGAAGCAAGACCTTTAAACTTGACGACGGTCGATCTCCCAGTTTGGGCCTTGAACGTCCTGCTAGGATTATATGTATGAATTTATAATTTGGAATGTGCAGGGTCGGTTCCTGTGGCCATGAATTAGCATATGATGTGGTCCCCTGTGGCCTGGGGTCTCTGATGGGTCCTCACTAAGGAGGGGACCTTGATGGGGCCCGTGGACTTGGCTTCAAGATCATTAGGGATGTAAGGCCCTTCCCCCAGAAGTTTGCTTCTGTGGAGGGTTTTTGTTCATATCAGCTGGAGTTGAGTGGCAGACAACTTCTACTTGGCCAAAGGATTCACATGTTTAGAATTAGGACAGAAACTGGTCCAATACTCTCTCTCTTTCTCAATCATACTCCCATTTGTCTGACCCTCCTCCACCACTCTACCCTATTACATATATAGAGATTTGATATGTATTATATATATATGTAATGGATAATTTTCACGGTACACGGTAGGGAAAGTTCTGCCTGTGTTATAAAAAGGAGGACCAGATATCCAGTTTTACAGAAATAAAATAGGAAATTTTAGCAAACCGTTTTTTTTCTTTAATAGAGTTCCTTCACAGCCGGAGATCTTCAGTAACCTCCCCGTCAGACATCACTTCTTCATAACTGATGAATTTGGCCTTTAGTTTGGGGAGAGAAGCTTCGTTTCCTCTACCTGCTTGCATTGTCACTGCAGTGTCATCTAGAAAGCTTGGGTCACTTTGACGCACACGTCCGGCACCCCAGGAAGACCTCTACCTTGCTGTGTGCCATTACTATCTCTCTCTGGCCTTCCCTCTCCTTGTATTTGACAGGCTGGCAATCATCTTATGCTCATAACCAGGCAGGACCGAACAGCGTCTGCCTGCATCGTCTTGCTTTTCAGAAAGCATTTGCACCGTCCGCCAAGAGTATGGCCTAGTGACATCCCCTTCCCCACCCAAACCTTAGGCAGCAGTGTTAGTATCGATGTGCCATACTGGTCGAGTGCTCCTGGTCTCCATTAAAGGACACGGGAATTACCTGCGTTGTTAACCTGGGCCACGGAAGGTCCCTAAAACTCCCACTTTGGGGGCAAGAAGGGGATTTCGGGCTCTTTCTGAGCCAGACTTGGTCAGACGTGGAGAGTCTCTACCTTGAGGGTGGTCCCAACAGGTGCAGGAGAGGTTGGCACAAATGTCTGTGGTCAAGCAACGTCCAGGGTCTGGGCCTCCCCTGCCACTCAAGTGTTGGGTCACTGGGGACACTGAGGTATGGCTGGATCTGTGGGTGAGAGTGGGGGATCAGACCCCCGAGCCTCTAGAGAGAAGGGACGTGGGGTTTGGTTTCAGGAAGCAGGCCCACCTACCTTGAGGTAAGCAGAGGGGACCAAGGGGACACTTGGAGGCAGGTGAGAGGGAGCCATCACAGAAGCAGGACAGGATGGAAAAGGACCGGGGCCTAGGAGGGCAGGGAACTCCAAGCTTCGGATAGGCAACCCACGCCTCAGACAGGTGACCCCATGCCTCGGACAGGCAAGCGCATACCTTGGACGGGCGACCTCGCGTCTTGCACAGGCAGGGGCAGCCGGGTCAGTTCCCAAAAGACCCAATTTCAGAGCCCAAGGCAGTCAGGGGAGACCGACCCCCAAGCTGGCTATGGGGTTGCTGAGGCCTGGTGTCTGATCTTTTATCCTGAGCAGCCCAGAGCTGCCTGTTGGCTCCCACCCGCTGTCTAGTCTGGCATCCAGCCACGCTGGAGCAGCCCGACTTCCCTGGGACCCTTCGTTTAGATCCGGCTGGAAACAGAATCATGTAGGATTGAAATGAACTCTGGTTCTCTGTCCTCACTGAGCTCTGCACAGTCCAGCCTGGAGTGGGAAGTGGGATCTTGCAGGAAGATGCCCCCCCCCCCATCTTCTCTGTAGTGAGTCATCCCCTGGGGCCCCGGACACAGGGTCCAGAAGAGGGACTCTTGAGCAGGCTGTACACCAGCAGCACAGGCTGTGAACCGCTTTAGCCCAGGGTTGCCGCTCACCTAGACTCTAACGCGAGTGAGGACCGAGCCCCCTGGAGCGGAGCACCTCGTCCCGTCTGCTCCTGATGGCAGAAAGGAAACAAAGCCGATGGGTAGGAAGAGCCTGATTCAGAGTTAGCCATCATCTTATTTTCCTCCTGACTCGTTACCAAAAAACAGAGGGATTTTCTGCTTCTTCCTCTTCACAGGGCAATTGGACTTTTTGTCCTGAAAATGGACGTGTTCCTAGCCCCAGGGGAGAGCTGAGTGTTTTATTTTTAAAAGCTTAGACTTATAAAATAATCATAACACGGGAGATTTGGGATAGAGGACTCTGGATTGAGTCCAAAGAACAGCCCAGGGCTGGAGGGTACGGGGTGGAGACAGGTGTTCCCACAGTGCCAGAGACCTGCTCCCAAAGGGCGGGGAGGGGATGGTTGTGTGTGGAGGCCAGCTCTGGGCGGTGCGGTTGTGTAAGGACAGCCAGGAAGAGGAGTCTGTGACACTCCCACAAGGGTCGTGTTAGACAGGGTTCTTTAGAGAAACAGAACCAGCAGGGCCTCTCCTGGGATTTCTCAGCTTCTATAATCGGGTGAGCCAATTCCTTCCATATATGATAAGGAAATACATATGTTATGCAATGTTATAAGGAGGTAACTCACCCAATTATAGAGGCTAAGAAATCCCAAGATCCATAGTTGGAAGGCTGGAGACCCACTAGGCCAAATTTGGGGCCTCCTCACCAAGGTGCTCGAGGGCATTTGCTGCTCTCTCCCAGCCTGGTGGAGTCTTTTACACACATGTGAGGTGAGGTGTCTCATGTCCCCTTGCCTTGTCCATTCTGTCTCCTGGGGCTCACACCTGCTCCATCCAGATTGTTTCAAGCGCTGGGCCCCAGACACAGATCAGCTAAGGTGGGGGCCGTTATGCACAAGAGAGCTAGGTCTGCCCCAGATGTGACGAACGTCAGGGCTGTTTACACACACACGTGCGTGCACACACACACACACACACACACACTAGCTGCTCACCATCCAGCATGCATGGGCTGCTGTCTACAGGAACAGATTCCAGGGGTGGAGCTCCCAGCAAGAGAGGGCCTCTGTTTGGACTTGCAGAGAGCAAGCAGCTGATGACTCAGGGAGATGTTTTCCTGCTCTCCTGTGAGTCTCCTTCGACGAGCTTCCATGCGCCCAGGTGGACTGGTTTCTCATCCCTGTTGCAGCTGTACCCACACGCCTGACTGGAAGCCACCTTATGTCCCCCACCCCTCCCCCCAGAGCCGGGTTTGTCTCTCCTCGGCCCAGTTTAGCTGCAGGTGGATCCTCCACTAAATGAGGCAGAAACAGGACTGCCTGTCACTCCCAGCTGACGGCTAAGGTCTCAGGAACAGAGACAAAGCCAGGGGTGCAGAGTGAGCGTGTGGCTGGAGGAGCTTGCCTGCTTCAGATTCTGTGTCTCCCTCTCTGTCCGCCCCTCCCTCGCTCATGCTCTGTCTCTCTCTCTCTCTCTCAAAAATAAATAAAACAGGGGCGCCTGGGTGGCGCAGTCGGTTAAGCGTCCGACTTCAGCCAGGTCACGATCTCACGGTCCGTGAGTTCGAGCCCCGCATCAGGCTCTGTGCTGACAGCTCAGAGCCTGGAGCCTGTTTCCGATTCTGTGTCTCCCTCTCTCTCTGCCCCTCCCCCGTTCATGCTCTGTCTCTCTCTGTCACAAAAATAAATAAACGTTGAAAAAAAAAAT